GCTGCGAGCCAACTTCGGCCATCTTGGTGGGCTCCTGGCCCGTCTGACGCCGTCCGTCGGAAGCCGTTTGGGGGGCCTTTTTGGGCCGATTCGGGGCCCTCTTGGGGTGCTCCAGGGCCGTCTTCGAGGCCGTCTTGGGCGTCTTGGAGTCCTCTTGGGTCGTCTCTGTGCCCTCTTGGGGCCGTCTTGGGGGCCTCTTGGGCCGTCATGGGGCTATCTTGGAGGCCTCTTGGGCGATCGTTGGGCGACCTTGGCGGCCTCTGGGGCCGTCTGGGGCCGTCGGAAAACCGAAAAGGCGCAAATGCCAAAATCCTTCAAAAACTCAAGGAAAATCAATGATTTTGGCCTCGTCGGGCTTTCCTGGAGGAACTCTTGGAGGCCTCTTGGGCCGTCTTGGAGGCCTCTTGCGGGCCTTTTGGGCCGTCTTAGACCATCTTGAGCCCATCTTGGGCCGTCTTGGATGCATCTTGGGGCCATCTTAGCCGTCTTGGAGGCCATGTTGGCTGTCTTGGAGGCATCTTGAGGGCCATCTTGGGCCATCTGCGCGATTTTTTGAGGATGTCCCGAGCGAAACTGCCGTTTTGGGCGACGGCAACCGGGTCTTCGGGTGGCCGGCGGGACGCGCCGGAGCCCCAGGGGGAGCTCTTTTGGAAAAAGAACCAAAACCAAAACCGAGAGGGTTTAGCACGCCGGGCACCCCTGCGATGAATCGACAGGGTGCGGCGGATCGAAGACGCCTACGGCGAATCACCGCCGCCCCCTGCCTTTGTGGAAGCGCCTATGTGGCCGAGCGTTGAGGCCAGACCTGCCAAGCTATCGGACCATGTGTTCCCCGAATCGGTTTGGAAAGCCTTCGGGGAACACGTGGCATCTTGAAGGTCATCTTGGCCGTCTGGATGCCATTTTGACCCTTTCGGGCCTTCTTGGAGAACGTCTTGGAGGGCTCTTGGGCCGTCTTGAGGCCATCTTGAGCGTCTTGGAGGCCTCTTGGGCCGTCTTGGAGGCCTCTTGGGGCCGCCTTGGGCCTCTTGGGCGATCTTTGGGGGCACTTGGGCCGTCTCGGGCCGTCGGAAGGCCGAACAAAAAAAGCAAATGCCACAATCCTTCAAAAACTCATGGGATTTTGGGTTTTCGGCCCTTCCTGGAGGCCCTCTTGGGGGCCTCTTGGGCCGTCTTGGGCCATCTTAGGGCCATCTTCGGCCATCTTGGTGGGCTCGTGGCCCGTCCGACGCCGTCGTTAGGGGGGCTCCTCTGGGCCGACTAGGGGCCCTTTTGGAATGCTCCAGGGTCGTCTTGGAGGTCATCTTGGGCGTCTTAAAAGCCTCCTGGGCCGTCTTGGGGGCCTCTTGGGGCCGTCTTGGGGGCCTCTTGGGCCGTTCTGGGGCCATTTTGGAGGCCTCTTGGGCTATCTTTGGGCGATCTTTGGGGGCTCTTGGGCCGTATCGGGTCTTCGGATGGCCGAAAAGAAGCAAATGTCAAAATCCTTCAAAAACCGAATGACAATTAATGTTTTTGGCCTTTCCTGGCCTTCCTGGAGGCCCTCTTGGGGGCCTCTTGGCCCGTCTTGGGCCAGCTTCGAGCCAACTTCGGCCATCTTGGTGGGCTCCTGGCCCGTCTGACGCCGTCGGAAGCCGTTTGGGGGGCCTCTCTGGGCCGTCTTGGAGGCCATCTTGGGGTGCTCCAGGGCCGTCTTCGAGGCCGTCTTGGGCGTCTTGAAGGCCTCTTGGGTCGTCTCTGTGCTCTCTTGGGGCCGTCTTGGGGGCTTCTTGGGCCGTTCTGGGGCCATCTTGGAGGCCTCTTGGGCGATCATTGGGCGTTCTTCGGGGGCTCTTGGGCCGTATCGGGCCGTCGGAAGGCCGAAAAGAAGCAAATGTCAACATCCTTCAAACACCAAATGAAAATTAGTGTTTTTGCCCTTTCCTGGCCTTCCTGGAGGCCCTCTTGGGGGCCTCTTGGCCCGTCTTGGGCCAGCTTCGAGCCAACTTCGGCCATCTTGGTGGGCTCCTGGCCCGTCTGACGCCGTCGGAAGCCGTTTGGGGGGCCTCTCTGGGCCGTCTTGGAGGCCATCTTGGGGTGCTCCAGGGCCGTCTTCGAGGCCGTCTTGGGCGTCTTGAAGGCCTCTTGGGTCGTCTATGTGCTCTCTTGGGGCCGTCTTGGGGGCTTCTTGGGCTGTCCTGAGGCCATCTTGGAGGCGTCGTGTGCGATCTTGAGGCGATCTTCGGGTCCTCTTGGGCCGTCTTGAGCCGTCGGAATGCAGAGAAGAAGCAAATGCCCAAATCCCTCAAAACCCCAAGGAAAATCAACGATTTCGGCCTCTTCGGGCCCTCCTGGATGACCTCTTGGAGGCCTCTTGGGCCGTCTTGGAGGCCTCTTGGGAGCCTCTTGGGCCGTTTTGGGCCATCCTGAGGCCATCTCAGGCCGTCTAGGGTACATCTTCGGCCATCTTGGAGGCATCTTAGGGCCATCCTAGCCGTCTTGGAGGCCATGTTGGTTGTCTTGGAGGCATCTTGTAGGCCATCTTGGAGTCGTCTGGAACGGAAGAACCCTTTGCACCCACCTCTGGAAGATCTTTCGGAATCCTCCCGGGACCCCGGCGGGACGCGCCGGAGCCCATTTGGAGAGTTCTTTTGGAAAAGAACCAAAACCAAAATCGTAAGAAGTTCAGCACGCATGTGATGAATCAACAGGGGGCGGCGGATCAAAGACGCCTACGGCGAATCACCGCCGCCCCCTGCATTTGTGGAAGCGCCTATGTGGCCGAACGTTGAGGCCAGACCTGCCAAGCTATCGGACCATGTGTTCCCCGAATCGGTTTGGAAAGCCTTCTGGGAACACTTGGGCATCTTGAAGGTCATCTTGGCCGTCTGGAGGCCATTTTGATCCTTTCCGGCCTTCTTGGAGAACGTCTTGGAGGCCTCTCGGGCCGTCTTGGGGGCCCCTTGGGGCCGTCTTGGGCACCTCTTGGACCGTTCTGGGGCCATCTTGGAGGTCTCTGGGGCGATCCTTGGGCGATCTTTGAGGGCTCTTGGGCCGTCTCGGGCCGTCGGAAGGCCGAAACGAAGCAAATGTCAAAATCCTCCAAAAACCTATGGGACATCACTCTTTTTGGTCTTTTCTGGCCTTTCCTCTTGGAGGCGCTGCGAGCCACCTTCGGTCTTGGTGGGCTCCTGGCCAGTCTGATGCCGTCGGAAGCCGATTGGGGGGCCTCTCTGGGCCGACTTGGGGCCCTCTTGGGGTGCTCCAGGGCCGTCTTAGAGGCCGTCTTGGGCGTCTTGGAGGCCTCTTGGGCCGTCTTGGGGCCCTCTTGGGGCCGTCTTGGGGGTCTCTTGGGCCGTCAGGGGGCCATCTTGGAGGCCTCTGGGGCGATCTTGGGGCGATCTTGGGGGTCTCTTGGGCCGTCTGGGGCCGTCGGAAAGCCGAAAAGGCGCAAATGCCAAAATCCTTCAAAAACCATAGGATAATCAATTATTTTCGCCTCTTCGCGCCTTCCTGGAGGACCTCTTGGAGGCCTCTTGGGCAGTCTTGGAGGCCTCTTGGGGGCCTCTTGGGCCGTCTTGGGCCATCTTCAGGCTATCTTAACCCGTCTAGGGTACATCTTGGGCCGTCTTGGAGGCATCTTTGGGCCATCTGAGCCGTCTCGGAGGCCATCTTGGCCGTCTTGGCGGCATCTTGGAGGCCATCATCGGCCATCTTGAGCGAAAAAGCTGACGAGATTGGGGGCCGTCTTGGAGGCCACTTGGGCCGCATGGGGCCCTCTTGGGGGCCTCTTGGGCGATCTTGGGGGCCTCTTGGGCCGTCTTGAGCCGTCGGAATGACGAGAAGAAGCAAATCCCCAAATCCTTCAAAAACCATAGGAAAATCAATGATTTTGGTCTCTTTGGAGGCCTCTTGGGCCGTCTTGGAGGCCTCTGGGGGGCCTCTTTGGCCGTCTTGGGCCGTCTTGGACTCTCTTGGGCCGTCTTGGAGGCATCTTGGGGCCATCTTGGCCGTCTTGGAGGCCATCTTAGCCGTCTTGGAGGCGTGTTGGAGGCCATCCTGAGCCATCTTGGCCGTCTTGGGACCATCTTGGGCCATCTTGGGGCGAAACAGGCATTGACTGATGCAGTTTCCGGGTGGCCAGCGGGACGCCGGAGCCCCAGGGGGAGTTCTTTTGGAAAAAGAACCAATACCAAAACCGAGAGGGTCTAGCATGCCAGGCACCCCTGCGATGAATCGACAGGGGGCGGCGGATCTGATGGCGTTCGGCTCCTCCCGCCACCATGTTTGAAGTGATGTCGTGAGAGGCCTCTCGGGGGCCTCTTCGGAGGCAATTTTGACGGCTCTTGAGGGCCGGTTTGGGACCTCTTGAGGCGTCTGCCGATTTCAGGTCGATGCTCCCCACCCCCAGAGCCAGGCCCCCCCCCCCAGCCTGGCACCCTCAGAAGATGTGGCGGCGTGCCCGGGGGGAAAGCCAAGGGGGTGGGCCTTCTCGGGAGGCTCAGAAGGCCTCCAGCCTTCTGGGGAGCTTTCCAGGCCCTATCCGAAGCCGCAGAGAGCGTCTCAGAAGGCCTGGGTCCACGTGGCTTCTGAGAAGCCCCGCTGCCTTCCAGAAGGCCTGTCTCCTCTTGCTTCCCCCCCCTTGGCGCGCCGTGTGCGGGTAGATCAGGGATGTGCCCCCCAACAACGAAGCAGCGCGTTTCCAGGCAGGATGGGGTGATTACCAAGGCCCACATAGGAGATGCAGACGACTTGGCGATTTGGGTGGGGGTCGACGCCCCCCCCCCCGAGCTGCCCCCCCCCCTCTCCCCCCCCTCTTTCGCTACCGCTCACGAGAAGGTCGCCCTCCTCGCTTCGGCGCGATCGACATGGGGTACGGACGGAACGGGGACGAAACCCGACTGCAGTGCCTGCCCCCTGTGAGCAGGACGCGCTGTCGGCGTCGCCGCAGGCGTAGTCCACTTGAGATGAAGAAGTCGCTTGCCCAATGCGGCCGTTGTCGGCTTCGACGTTCGCTGCTGGGCATCGTGCCCCCTCTTTCCGTGCCCACTTCGGCCTCCCTCCTCGCCCTTTTGACCCCTTCTCGGGCGCGCCGCCGGCAGCCGCCGCCAAGGAGGCCCGCGGCCGCGGCGCCCGCGGTGCCCGCCCGCACAGCCCTGGGCGGCGTGCCGCGGGTCGGCGGGCGGGCGCCGCGGACTGCCGAGGCGGAGAGGAAGACGGTGCTGCTCACCTCGGCGGAGGCAAACGGGGTGGATGGCCCAGGGCTGGGCGGGTTTTGAA